TACAATATACATCAGATTTCAAAGACTTTGTAGAAAAAAAGAATGTAAGGTATCTCCTTGATTTTTTATGTTGATTACACATCTAAATGACAATATTTGGGATGGATGTATGGGTCAAAAAAAAAATTGCTAAAATTAATTTCACCTGCTTACTTTTCCTTTTTTGAATGTATCTACCAGAAAATTTAAAATTATATAATGTAGCATATATTTCTATCAGACAGCACTGTTTTAGGTCACGAATGAAAACTGATTAAAGTCCTGGACTCAATCTTTCAGGGTATTACTCCTGGCCATACTTACCCTATTTCCCACATCTTTAAGCCCGATCTATTTGTGACAAAATATTCTAGTAATTATGTTTTGGGAATCTTTGGTATGGATCTTTATCAAAAGCTTTTTGAAAGCTGAAAATGCATTTACTGCTTCCATTTCTTCTATATGCTCATTTAGCCTCTTCATATTAGACAGAAACGATTTCCCTAAATACTGATTCTTCTCCCAACTGATTACCCTTCCTCTACACCAAGTGTTTCCTGCACTCATTTGCTCTGACCTTTACTCTGGAAATAAAAGGAGTCTCACTGAGCTCTATAACAAGCCAGACTGCCTCTGAATCAGGCTCGATCTTAGGTGGGTAAACATGGCTGATCTCATTTTGAAAGTCCCTTCATTCAAATCCTATTTCCCCCAGAGTTTCCGATCTCTCCTTACCTCTGTTCTAAAATGATTCCACTATCATCACTTCTGAACTGTCTCCTGATTATTAGAATATCATTCACAGTCCATATTTTGTTAGGGGTAGTAGGATTTCATCAAATAAGTGTAGATATTATAGTCATAAGACTGTGGCTCTTTGTATATAGGAAAAGTATTTCACAGACTCTACAGCACTCTATATGTTAGATACTTGGTTTGCGTATCTCGTTTTTTACCCTGGCAGCAGTTCTTTGAACGCAGATATCACCTCTTCAAATATCACTTTCACTGTAAGGATGTGTTTAAAAAGCAAACTGAAGGGAACCAATTGATATCAATGACTGACCTTTCAGAATCAGATTCTTTAGAAAAAGGAGGCTTTGATAAGGAAGCAACAGTGGAGAGAAGGAGAAATACCACTCAAGTCAAACAGAAAGATAAAGTCCAAATCTAGGAGGTAAATTCCTCTGAATTCATAATTTTGAGTAAGGCTGACCCTGTTTAAAGCCTTTCTTATGGTAGTTGCCGATCACAAGTTGCCAGTTGACACCATGTAATGTTCTGAAATGAATATACTTATTCTGATTAAGAGCTCTAAAATATCACTTATGAATTCTCCCCAACTTTAGGTGAATGTTCTTCAGGGATTTATCAATCCCTGTTTTTCAGGTAGATCTGAAGTATCATGTCATGTCCTAATGCCTTTAACCACAGTTCCCTCTGCTACCTGCATATTGGGCTACATAAGACATGAAGTACTTCTACTCTTCTATTTATACTGAACAAATGACTGTTCTAGTATCTCTCTTCTGCCAATCTACTCTATATTAAGGGACCCAGAAGCTTCCTTTGGATGTCGAAACTTGTATCTCTAATTATAGAAGGAAAAACTTGGTTTCTTACGAAAGGCAATAGCTATTCAAGTGTCTGAATGCAGAGTGGTAGGTTAGAAGAAGAGGAAGTAGCGTCAGTATCAGAAAATGTACATAAAAGCTTGTTTCTAAAATCAGAACTCCTCACATCCTTTCATTCACAATGAAAGAATAGGTGGGTGTGCATACTGGCCCCCACTATCTTTTCCTCTACCCCAGAAATCCCAGATTCAGAGGTTCCACAGCCCATTTTCATGGTGCCTTCTCTTCTCCCCAAATGGCCTCACACATTCCAAGTTGGACAAAGAATAGAACGATCTGTTTGAAGAATCAAATGTCAGTGTGAATAAATGATAGAAAAGAAGTCATAGGAGGCACAGGTAGACCTGTCCAAAAAGGAAGAGAGAGGGAAAGAGAATAGAACATTTACTAATAACCTATTTTGTGTCTGGAACTAGTAATAAAGCAAGTGGGTGGTCAATGGCAAGGAAACTCCAATACTGAGACAGTAAAACTTAGCATCTCTCTCTTTAAAATGGTGTGTGCTAATATGGCATTTACATGGTCTATGTGCTTTACCATGCACACAATAATGATTATACATGTTTTAATATGTCAGATTAATTCATTGTGAATTTTACTTGATAAGTACTATAAATTCTATGGATATTTATAGATAGTTATTTTCATAGTTTATTACTACTGAAATATCATGGTCTGAAACTTTTTAAAATCTGAAAACCTCTTAAATTTGTTCCTTAGTGAAAGTGAAGCAAAGTATCATCACTGAACCTGAATATTGCAATGGACTCAAATAGATCACAAACTGCATTGTCTCTTTTTGGTGTACATAAAGAAATTTTTAGTATTGACTCTATTATGCCTTGCAAGATGATCCTCGAATTTTTGTTTAAGCCTAATGTCTAATTTATCTGCACCTCAGCTATCATATCTTATGGGATTCTCATGAGGAATCTTTCCTTATTTATTATTTTTAAGGAACAAACGAAACCACAAGATACTTCACTTATCCTACCAGCACTTTTATTTTGCAAATGAGCTAAGCAGGACACTGATCTGAGTGTCTGAGTTTGCTCCGGATTTTCTTGGATTTCTAGTCAGGTATTTCTAAAACAGGCTTTATGCAGGCTATTTGTTAAATTATTCTTTTCAATTTTTTCTCTTTTATCAGTTTATGAAAAAGTCCCGTAAAAACAAAAAGTCATCAGACAGACTTGAATTGTTTTCTTGTGGATTAGCCACCTAAAAGCTATTCGTAACTCCCTTTTCCCTTGCATTCTAGTTCTACAAAGATTGAAATATTAAAATGGTTTCTCATACTGTACTTCCCTGCTGCTAGGGGAGAACACATGACCCACTTCTGGACAATGAGATGTAAGTGGAAATCCCTGGGAGGAGAGTCCAGAAAAGCTTTTAAAAAGCGTAAAACCTAGCTGACATGTGCCTCTGGCCAACCTCAGACCTCACTCTTTTTCTTGAAAGGTGGATACCTAGGGGTGCATTAGACAACTTGCAACCATGAGTACAAAAATCCCATGCTAAAGATGATAAAAGAGAAAGCCATGTTCCTTCACTATAATATGGTAA